TCAAAATAGGGGGTTTCTGTGGAAAATTCCAAACGCACTTCAATGCGAAAGGCGGAAAAATCACACCAAGGGAGTGCAGAATGATCAGCAGCAGGCCTGATTCATTTTGGTTCCGTATGAAGTGTAGTACTGTCCCACTAGTTGAAATTGTAATTGAACTGTCCCAGAAGTATGAAAGCCTTACAGACGCAGTTGAGAGGATGTTGTGGGCCAAAATAGCTTCGGTAGGAAGAAGCAAAGCTGAATGTCGGACACCGGTCCCTCCGCCTAACTCTACTGCAAGCCAACTCAACAATGCCGAATGCCGCACTAATTAACTTGCTCCTGAAAACACTGTCAATTATCGAAATCGCCCAAACTTTTCCGATCGCCTTGATCCCAGCCAATTTACAGCAATTTCTCACATTTCCACTTGCTTACACCATACTTCGCTGAAACCCCGGAAACATGCAAATACCAGTGGCAACTGGGCTGTTGTTTCATCAACGTGCACTCAAAAGTCAGACGCTGCTGCTTCTATATCAACACCCATAACTAATGTGAAAGTCAACGCTGCACGAATGTACAGCAAACCACTGGGTCTCTCAACTACGGTCCATAATCACAAGAAGGACAATCAGAATCAATCGAATGTCCTATCTACATTATGTACCAATGTTCCTGAGTCCACACCAAATTATTCGAAGAGGAAACAGTTGGATGTCCAGAACCAATGGAATACCATATGTAACGTCCTCGGTACTCTGACTAAACCCTCCAACTTGACGAGGATCACCCTCCACTCGAATTCCAAGAATGATGGAGAAACCAGGCGTTTCTGGTTGGGCTAAATGTTTGCTATTTGTTCCAGCGCCTGCGTCAGTGCCTCCGCTACCAAACCAGAGATCGGCGATCCCATTTGTGTGCCTCCTATCTGTTCGTAAATTTGGCTACTGCAATTGAAATGTGTTGTTAGACAGAATTCCAATAACTCCATCATCTGTTTGGATTCGAGTTTACTGCTTGTACCCGAAACGTGTGCTCCTCTTGTAGGCGCTTCATTATTTGTTTTGCCAAGCTGATGTCGATTGAGGTGAACAAGGCGGTAAAATCAAAAAGACCATTAGTTCGTAGTGTTCAATGGTTGCGGTTATAAATTTCTCAAGGAACTATTCTGCCGAGTTGATCGAGTGTTCCGAGCCCGCGATTAGGTGTTTTAGCCTTCTCTAGAGCCACTTAGTAAGCCTGTAATTTGGTGCTTCAGGTAAATACACGATGGCGTGAAGCGGCACTCCGCTTTTTATACTTTTGCTAAGCTTTAGAACCGCGGTAGTACAGAGTCTTATGGTCGCATCATCTTGTGTTCCGATTTTGTGATTTTCCCCCATTTGTTCCAGTTTTGCAGAGCGTGTCTAATGTTGTCTTCTAAGCGATTTGTCAGGTCTTTGTTTATCGACTGGTATGTGTTGGTATCACTGAGTAGGTATTGTATTTCATCATGTAATCAGTTTTGTTCATTATAACAGTAAGGCTTACTTTTCGGTCGGCAGTGTAACTATACTCTTGTCTTACTTGAGGTTATCCACATCTTTCTGTTCAGCAGCGTTGAATGCGTTGGTTTCAGATTTATGACTGAGAGCAGGGACGATTCCGGGTCTGACCAGTTGGTGTGCTTCAGGCGCGATGTTGTACGATTTAGCGCCGATTCAAGTGCAGCGACGAACTTGATGGGATCGGAGTCCTCAACATCGAGTTGCATACCTCATAAAATTAACTGCTTTTTACGCGTCCGTTAATCTTCTGTTGGATTTGTTGGCAATCAAAGCATCCTCTTCCTTAAGCGGTTTCTTTCGCGTGGTCGTCCAGAATTCAGCCGGCATTTTGCAAAGAGCGGTTTGGACTACTTATTATTTCCAGGGAGAGAAGTGGGACGGTTTAGTTCGTATAAGTTGAATTCATTACAGTTCAATTTAGATCACTTCACTTAACGACATTCTGGACATCAAAGTGCGGTGAGTTCTGTTATCACAACTCGTATCACCTGGAAAGCAATACATCGCGAAGGTGAGAACATTTCTTTAGAGCTCGGAAAGAATACAAGGGCAATTAAAGGAGGTGAATAACAGTATTTGATATGGAATGCCAACAGCTAGATGCACGAAAACGAATTTGGGGTCATCGCTGACTGCTCAACTCCGCCATGTCCAACCATTTGTGTGGACGATCCCGAGGTCCCCAGGCCAGGCACGCACCCATTTGACTAAGTCTCGGTCAATTTCTACTTACCTTTTCTGTCGCATCATCCAGTGGCCACCTCGCCGTTTCGCCCAACTTGATGCAGCTTCTGTTTGAAATTTACTTGAATAATGAAGAGTATAAATTAGTACATTGAGAAAGGTCCAGCGAGTATGTCTAAAGGCATGTACATATAACAACTAAAGCGATACCTAGAGGCCAATCTACAGGATCTAGAAATGAAACGAATTGCCTTGTTTGGAGTCCACTAGTGTGGGTGGTTTGCGACATATAATCTGCATTTAGCAACTGACTTACATTGAAATGAATCGTGGTCATGTCGGACCGCAACCGGGGAAGATAAACGCCGGGTTTCGCCAACTCGCAGCATTGCACTCCATGAGTGGTTTCGAGCGTACGTGGCAACATTTCTGTTCGAACTCTGAGCGCTGAGATGTCAACCGAAGTCACTACACCTAACCGAGAGAGTCGCGACGGAGAACGCTGCTTACAGCGGATCACAAGTCATTGCGGGAGCGGGTGGCATTTAAAACACTCATTGAGTGGATGAGTTGCAACGTTAGTGCACGTCAGACAAAGACATGCCCGGACGTGGCTAGTCGGAATATTATCGCAAAGTAATTCCTACTGCTGATAGACCCTAGACGACCTTGTAAGAGGAATAATCCTAAACTAGTTAGCCAAGTTTTACACCACTCGTCATGCCTACTTTCGAATATTGTGATCGCTTACTCACAGGATAAATGCTATCCATAAGGTATCATCCAATAGACGTGAAGCGCGACCCTCAGCAAAGCATTCTAAATGGGACAAAACCACTGCTTTTGCATGAGAGGAACAACTCCAAGATCAGTGCTTCATGGCTCCCTCCGGAAGTGGACTAGCAAAATGTCCAGTTAATTATCAATATATTCTCACTGCGTAGTGGAGGCACGTTTGGGCTTGATGAAGGCATGGGGGACCAGGCCTTTGTTGCAGGCTACAACATTTGCGATGGAGTTGAAAACCACAGTGCAATCTCCTCACCAATAAAAGTTCGACAACGATTTATGAAAATGCAATGCATTTATTCCTTAAATATAGCATCCTGAGGACGTTCCACAAGCTTGGATTGGGTCCAGTCTGGCCTCAGTGTGAGAAGCTAATCTTGTGTTTTGTGTACAGGAGCATAAACCATCATAATGTACACAGTACTGAGTACAGTGTTCACATGTACTGCATGTTGCCCAACCACAACAATGCAATACTTGAGGTGTTTCAACCTCACTTGATCTCATCAGGTAGATATAGCAGACATCAGACCGGGACCATTGAGATACCACTTAGGTCCTCTTCCCTTCCAGTCGCTGGGTCACGACGGGCAGCGCATAGCACAACTGTTGGAGACTGGTTGATAGGCCCTTACGGAGCGGCCATTGTATGGTTGGATTGCGATGCGCGATCTCAATGGAGACCGTGATTAGCTTTGGAATGAAATTTGGTCGATTCTATCAATGGGACCATAACTGATGAAGCAGGTTGTTATTGGTTGTGATCAAGCTGACCGCGGTTTTCATCAATGTGAATCGATGTACAGTTTGTGTTTAAGCGTCCTAATTCAACCACACAAAGAACATATCGGTGTGACCCATCGATCAGTGCTCATGTGTATTAACGTTCTAGGTACCCGAAACGATATGTGGAATTATGTTAATATTCCGAAGTTTACTGCGCGAATCAGGAGGCGTTACTTCTTAATTTTGACTGAAAGTTCCGAAAGATACCTGCCAAAGTTGTAGACTACTTAAGTTCCAGCTTTCGATTGAAGAGCAGTAAACCGTTCCAAACTCGCTAATTGTGTATGGAACATCACAATCGAGAAGGATATCAGTTACGAAGGAGAATATTACGAACAATAGAATTTTCTGGCGCACAGTCACTTACTTTTCATGATCTTTTAAGTTTGAACATCGTTGTTTGTTTGAGTATCTCTGGTTAACAGTCATGTCGAGAAACCAGAAAACAATGCCGATTACTTTTTGATGCAGAAACTCCAATATTTTACTCCCATGTTAGTAATTACTTATGCAATTGCATGCAATGCTTGTAACACACTTTTATTTATATCCTGAAACGATTTCACTTTGCATGAACATCAGTACAGTTTGGACCTCGATGAGGGTTTCTCTGGTTTTTTGGTCCCATTAAGTATCACCTTAAACGTTTGCGTTCCCGCACAGTGCCTTCAAAAAGAACCGTAGTAACTAACAAAACGAGTGATTGTGTCGTACTCGTGCCAAAGAGAATTCAGGTTTAGTATCGAACCATGAACCTCCAAGTACTAGACAGTGGGAATCGATAATCCAGTGAAAGTAACCTTAGTTCTCTGACCGCGGACCATCGTATCGATCAGACCTGAAGTCTCATCGGCCGAACATCACATTTCTCACATCACACGCTAGGCAAAATATAGCACAAACAGGAATACGCTACAAAACTTGACTAGATAAATGTCACTTGCATGTTCATGAGATAGGCTCATTCATGATTAAGCGATATGAATAGAAGCATTCATTGTGGGCAAGTTCATTTAAATGTGCCTGCATAAGTTGCCATAGATAAAAACCGTATCCATCAAATTGCCAAAATTCATAGTGAGAGATTGGATCAATGAGTTCCTCATATAAATCGTCGATAAGAAAAGCTACCTGGTGTACAATATCTAGCCAATAAGTTAATGGCATTTGTTACATTACATTTCAGCAATTGGGAAGACCAGCCTTACTATGAAGGCCGCAATCCTTCTTCTTGTTCAACTAGCTGCAATTCATACTGGGGGGCACGTAATACCGTTACGTGCACAAAAAGAAGTGGACAGTTACAAAGACAGCATAGGTGAAAATTGGTGGAATGATACGCACACAAGCGGGCAAATCCCGGACGTATCCACAGAGCAGAGGGAGATGGGAAGGGAAGTAAGCACAGAGGATATTGAAGAATTCACAGCTGAAATGACGGAAACTAGCGCTGGCAGTGTAAAAGAATACATAAAATACAATAACAAATTGGTGCATGGTGGGATGGGACGAGGGAACATGGACCACTGGGGAGAATACATGGAGGCATCAACCGAATACCGGTTGCCAAGAGAAGAGATAACTACAGTGGGCTACGATGGTTTTACAGCCAGAGTGACGGACGAACTTGATGGGAAAACGACGATATACCCAGAATATACCGAGGAATATTCCGATGGTGAATTCACTGGTGAGGCCACGGATATATCAGTTGGGTACACAGGCGGATCAACAGAATACTGGTGGCGGAGACATAAAGTGCCAACGGAGCGTTTTAGTGAGTTAACAGACAATGTGGCTGACGTGGTTAATGTGAATACGAAGAGGTACCCAGAACACACTGAGGGATTTTCAGACGATGGAATCGGAGGAGGAATAACGGACGAGTGGGGAGAATACACGGACGCATCAACCGAATACCGGTTGCCAAGAGAAGAGATAACTACAGTGGGCTACGATGGTTTTACAGCCAGAGTGACGGACGAACTTGATGGGAAAACGACGATATACCCAGAACATACCGAGGAATATTCCGATGGTGAATTCACTGGTGAGGCCACGGATATATCAGTTGGGTACGCAGGCGGATCAACAGAATACTGGTGGCGGAGACATAAAGTGCCAACTGAGGGTTTTATTGAGTTAACAGACAATGTGGCTGACGTGGTTAATGTGAATACGAAGAGGTACCCAGAACACACTGACGGATTTTCAGACGGTGGAACCGGAGGAGGGACCACGGAGGACTGGGGAGAATACACGGACGCATCAACCGAATACCGGTTGCCAAGAGAAGAGATAACTACAGTGGGCTACGATGGTTTTACAGCCAGAGTGACGGACGAACTTGATGGGAAAACGACGATATACCCAGAACATACCGATGAATTCTCCGGTGTTGGATTTGGAGGTGAGGCCACGGATGACTCCGGGGTTTTCTCAGACGAATCAACCGAATCCTGGATTCCGGGAGATGAGCTGACCATCGGCAGTTTCGAGGAGTTCACAGGCAATGTAACCAACGTGGTTAATGTGTATTCAACGATACACCCAAAAAACGCAAAGGAATATGCAGGCAGTGGATTCGGGGGAGGAGCCACGGACTACGGGGGAGAAACCACGGAGGCATCAACGGAATACTGGTTGCCAAGCACGGAGATAACTACAAACGGCTACGAGGATTTCACAGCCAAATTGACGGAAGAACTTGCTGGGATTACGAAGAAGGACCTGGAACATAACGTTGAAATCTTCCATAGTTGGAGGAGGGATGAGAACACGAATGATTCTGGCGAATACTCGAACGTGTCAAACGTCGAATGACATTAGAAGAACAGCTTCGTCACTAACTTTTTATTCACTGTTTGTATCACTCGATTACCCTGGCAAAAGAAAGCCAGCCCCCATACTTTATGCAACTAATAACCGGAGTTCTGTAATTGGCTACCTGTTTCGTCTATTTTTCTACTGCTTCCACTATCTCCCTATGATTGACACCGGTAGATTCATCTGAGTCACCTCCACCAAATCTTATTCAGCTTGTCTGTCTTTTCTGACTGTGACTGATCTAAATGTTACCTAATCTGTATTAATTTTGTTCATATGGTTAATCGTTTTACATGGCTTCTGTTAGCCAGTGAGCAATTGTTCCTCTGTTTATCCTATCCATAATGACGCCCTAAGGCATGGATGCCACGCGCTTCGTACGGAAGTCGAATTCGAGTTAGAAAGTAACGCAAGAGGACATTTGCATTAGTTTATTACTATGGTTCTTAATCTTCGTGACCATATCGGTTTAGTGGTAGCTGCTTCCTGAGTCGCATTTGAATTGGGCAACAGATTGTAAAAGTTGCATTGCATAATTGCAATGGTTTCGGTCCATTACCTGGTTCGTAATTCGCCACACTGAATGTATCATATCAAACGACAAATTTCTCCGTGCATTCTACACAACTTTTGAAAGGAAAAATCGAGTATTTCTTATGGCGGCACGAGAATCCATTGGTATGACAGATATCACGCATTCAAGTTATTGGTTATCATGTAAACTCCAATATTATTGGATTAGATTCCATAACAAACCATGGTGTTCCAGAACTAAAACGGTCAGCTTTGCGGATTCGAGTCATAAACTGATGAAGACGATCTATAAAGTCAATGGGTACTAGCAACGTAGATCGCACACGCGCGCGTTTCACTGTTCAGAATCGATACGCTGCACCATGATTTGGAACTGTCCCACATATTATCAACCAGATAAGAAAATAACCTTTAACTAGGCATCCGCCAAGATGGTGAATCGAGGGTAGAACCCTTAATAAAGCGTCTGATGCAAATCAGTTTTGTCATTTTTAAACCAAGATAAACCGGAGACGGTCTCTGCCACCGTCAATGAATAATAGTCATTGAAAAATGATTTATCACGGAAAACACTTTGTGTACTTGATAAGTCCGGTAGGATGGTCGGGGTGCAAATTAAAATTGTATGGATCAACATATATGCGTCTACTGATTTAAATGCACGACTGCATAACGATAGTTTGAAGTGGGGATGGGATATGTACAATTCAAGTAGTATAGCGATTTGTTGTAGTGCGTGAAAATAAAAAGAAAACAACAACGCTTACTCGTGTGTCGCTTCATTTGACAGATATGTTACGTTGATCCAGTCGAATAACACGCACGCTACTCACATGGATACCAGCATAGATCATCACCGCCACGTTGCGTAGAGGACCGTTAGGCACATGGTTTGATTTGCGTTATTTTGTCTTCCTAGTAGGACGGACAGTAGCAAATGATGCATATCGTAAAGCATGTCATCAAGACATACTTTGAAAAGCCTTAATGTAGGGCCAAGGATAACATGAGTCGGAAGAGCATTCCAGGCACAGGACACACGAAGAAAACGCTTCGTGGATAACCAAGTCGGCTGTAATGTGTAGCCAGTTGGGCTGATGGTCACTCGCGTTGGTATTTTGGCTCCACCGCAACAGACGGCGACGTGGGTGAATTGGGTTCGTCAGTATTAACTGTACTATGATGAGGTCTCTTCGCTGACGTCGATGTTCAACACTGTACAATCTCAGGGAATGCAGGCTGCATTGGTAGGATAGATGCAACAATCCTCTAACGAGTTTGCTCGTTCTACATTGTGGAGCTTCAAGTGCATTGATGTCGTGTTTGCGCCAGGGACGCCGGGCCTGAATTGACTTTTACACCTTTGATCTCACATAGACTTTCAGCATTTGCGGAAAGACAGATGGCTCGAAATTTCCGAAAGCCCTCGTAAAAGTCCAAGATGTGGGACAAATATTTTTGATTCCTTTTAAGCTGATTTCAAGCAGTCAAAGTCGTCCTGCACAATCACCTCAAGGTCGCTTACATAGGAAACACGTTGCAACTGCTGGTCCCCAACTCGAGATTCATGGGTATGCTGATGGCGTATGCTCACGACTTTGCACTTCGCCACGTTGAACTGAAGCAGGTTTTCGGATGACCACGTATAAGTCTGGTGGAGATCACTCTGTAACGTAATGTGATCTTCCGCTGTCTTGATGCCGTACCAAATTTTGACATCGTTTGCAAATTGTAAGGAATCCGATTTCAGTTCAGTAGCATGATTTTTAGTGAATGTAAAGAATAAACCTGGCCTCAGTAACAACCAATGGGGCATGTCACACTGGACGTCAATTTGGTCAGAAATGGAGCTGTGAACTCACATTTAGCTGACGTTGAACGAGGTGATTACCGAACCAACCGAGCATATGGTCACTGTTTCCATAGCTTCGAAGATTGTGCAGGCAAATGCGACCATGCAAACGATGGAACGCTTTCGAGTAGTTCAAGTAAACAACGCCGACTCCCACTCTGGCATCGGCTGTCGCTGTCCAGCGTGCTCAGGTTCATCATCATCAATATACACGTTAGCTAGTGGAATGCATCTCAGCTAATGTGCCGAAGTGCACCCAAGAAACAATACAAAAATGCAACGGATGCGAGCCAGTTGAGTTATCGGAAACGGATGGGCATCATTCCGGTAAGCTACCAGTCGGCTACAATGTGGCAAAAATGCTTACTATGCAAACCAATGTAATGCTAAGTAGTGTGGTTGTGGTTTGTGGAGGAGGCTAAGAGGGATGGGGTGGGACAATGAAACTCAAAACACGAACGCCATTGAGGTCGGCTCCTAGCCGTGTCAACAAGTGTATTCAGCTAAACGTGTTCATCGTTTCCCTGACCACAACGGCGGAGCATGCAAAAAGGCACGTCGCGGGAGTCGATGGGCCGGCATGCGTAACACTTGGCTGAGCTATCGGAGCCTGGTGCGTGTAATAACGGTGCTGAGTGGTTCAATTTCATTTCCTGTGCTGCAAGCAAGGCGTCGAACACGCTCGCATGCTCACTCGGTGTTCCCAGCAGGTGAGAGCTAAATTGCGAAGGCACCGGTGGTCGAACGTAACTGGCCTCTTTGTGTCCACTGATCTAAGGGGCATTGTTTCAAAACCGTACAGTAGGGTCGAAAGTACCACTGCACTAAACACTCTACTCTTCACGGATAGACTGATGTTGCGCCGGTGCCATACGTGGCGAAGATTAGCAATAACGTCGCAGCCTTTCGCTAGGCGGTTCTTGATCACAGCTTCAATCCCACGGCCGCTGATACAACTTCCCAGTTAGTCGAGCTTCAAGTAGCTAGTCCGTACTAAGAGTGAGCGCAGGAGGCGGTCCAAGATAGTCTTGGAGGAACGTTGTGCACTTCGAGGGTCCGAAGCGTAGCCCACAGTGACGGAAAGCCTATGCTAATCGGTCCAGAGCCGCTTAGCAAATTCATCAGCTGTCAAACATTAGGGCACTATTATCAGCATATTCCAAGTCAGAAAGTCGTTCCTCTGTGAGCAGATCTACACCTTCTAAGTCGTACCCTGTGAATGCGATTTTCATGACTTTGTCAATAGTGAAATTGAAGTGGAATGGTGACAGCGGGCATCCTGCTCGGTCCAGAAGCAATTTGGTAGTGCAGGATCGATTTTGGCTGAATCCGTGTTGCGGTGACACAAGGATGTCGCTGCTCTCAAAGTATCCCATGAGCACCTCTGCAATTATAGGTTTCATTACTTTGGCTAGAATTGGGAGCAGAGTGCTTGGACGATAGTGCGAGGGCTCCACACGATTACCACTTCAACACCTTCTGTTTGATGTCGTTCACGCCAGGTGAGATTTGCATGCAAAATTTTCTTAGCCTTTTCCTCACATTGGCCGCGATGAACGATACCTGGTTAAATCCTGGTGGCGATTGAAGCTGTCTCAACAGCGGATGTAATGATGATTCACTCCGAAAAGTAAAGATGAAGTGTTGGTGAAGCTCGTTGGCCGCTTCTTGTGCGGTTTGCGCAAGACCATCTGTTGCACTTCAAACCGGGATCCCGTGCTGTGCTCTGCGTAGCTCTTTGACGTATCTATACAACAACTTGGAATTGTTACTGAATTTCGCTGCTAAGTAATGTTGGTGCTGGAGTTTGTCTTTGCGGATCATCTTGACACAGTGGTTTCATTGAGTTGTTTAAGCACCATATGTCTGATTATTTGGACAGACTTTGTAAACGCGCCTGGCTGAATCACTTAAGGCCATTCATTTTCTAGTACGCCTCTACAGGAAAGAGTTCGCTTGCTTCAGGCGAAGAACTTTAATTTCGGTCGCATCACCCACTAGCTCGATGAATTGGGTGACGAACAGCATCCAGGCCACATCGGGCGGCTTCTCGGCCAAGAACGACCAGTCGGTCTCTTGAACAAGGGTTGACAATATTTCGCACTATATAACGACATAGGTTTCCTCCTTTTTTCCGCCGACGTACTCCGAGTAATAGATGTAACTAAAGAGCTACATCGCGTGATCGCTACGGGTAATTATTGAATCTATGGTCATGGTGTCAACCATTAGTTCTTCTTTGCAGAGCACAAGGTCTACAACAGAGTGTGTGTCACTCTATCGGCATCGCTTGGGAAAGCTTACATAGTGGTACAGATGTACGTCCGCGATCATCTCTTGCAAATCAGCCTTGAATTGTTCGCTGTGCGTCGCTGGGACAACGATTGCGCGCAAGTTGTAGTCCCTCACCAGAAGGATGTGAATGTGTGGTCTTGCCAAGACTTGTTTTATCGCAGAAGCTAGGCACTTGTCCATTTCCAAGGTGGACATTTGAGCGCGGTAAACTATTGCTAATAAACACACAACACCACGTCTTAGATGCTTACGACACCAAAGCGAATCGACGAGTTTCGTTTGTGGGTCCTCAACTATATCAACCTTCAGGTCGGAT